AGAGAGCTTTATGCTGTAGGCCAGGGGCAGGCAAACTTTTTGGCCTGAGGGCCGCATTGGGTTTTGGAAATTGTATGGAGGGTTGGGTAGGGGAGGGGGTCATGGCCCGGCTCCCACTTTCTATCTGCCCTCCTGCCCTATCCAACCCTCCCTGTTCCCTGTCACCTGACCGTCCCCGGACCCCCGCCGCCCCATCCAACCTCTCCTCTCATTTGTGACAGCCCTGTTCGGACCCCTGCCCCATCCAACCACCCCTTCTCCCTGTCACCTGACTGCCGCCTGCTACCTCATCCAACACCCCCTCCTTCCTGACTGCCTCCCTGGGACTCCTACCCCCATTCAACCCCCTATTCTCCCCCGACCCCTATCCACACCCCTGACCACCACCCCAAACTCCCCTGCCCTCTATCCAGCCCCCCTGCTCTGTGCCCCTTTACCGTGCTGCCTGGAGCACTGGTGGCGCCTCAGCCGTGCCGCCCGGCTGGAGCCATGCCACACCGCTGCCGCCACCACACAGCTCAGAGACTGGGTCAGGTCAGGCTCTGCAGCTGTGCTGTACCAGGAGCTCACAGCCCCGCCGCCCAGAGCATTGCGCTGGTGGTAGAGCGGTCGAGCTGAGGCTGCAGGTGGTGGGGGGAGGCGAGCCTCCTGGGCCAGGAGCTCAGGGGCCGGGCAGGACGGTCCCGCAGGCCGTAGTTTGCACACCCCTGCTGTAGGCTCTGAATAACTAAATTTCCTAGGATGAGTTCAACAACCACATTGTGCTAATCCTCCGGTCTGATTATATTCACTGCTACATTAGATTTTAAAAATATATTAATTAACACATGCAAACATCTCACCTTTAAATTCTAGTCTAGACAAGATAGCAAGAGCTTTGACCTACCCTCATATTGGTGATGAAACTAACTTGACTGGAGTGGGGGTAGATAATTTTTGGAGTAATCTAACTGAACAATTTTCCATTGAGGATTGCTAAAGTTGTATATGGTCAGTCTGTTTTAATAAAAGGTCTCGTAGTCAAAGACATTGTCCTTTCAAAAATATATACAAAAAAATTAATGAAAAGGGAAACACTAACTTAAAAAGCACACCTCTGTCTGAATATTTTGTTTCTTTTTCTGTTAAAAGTTAACTCCTAAAACCCTTGTAATTTAAAGATTAGAGGAAAAAAATCTAGTGTGTGTAGTTTGCATTGACAAGCACTTTGTGTATAGCCAGTTTTACTGTATTCTCTGTATATTCACTTTCTGTTTTTGTGCAAATGGTTTAGACAGTAGCAAGGGGTAAGAAATACTTTACAAAACATGAAATTGCTCTGCCAAATTGTTATTTTATACTCACATTTTCAAGTCCTGAATTGAAACTTGAAATTATTGAATTAAATTCCATTGTTAATACTTTTTATACTATTGAAGTTCATTCCAAAACATTCAAGAAATGTTATAGTGGAATAAATGAGCTGTAGTTTTCTAGGAAATAATTCCATTTTTGAATTATTGTAAGACTGTATAAATGAGTGGGGTTTAGGTCAGTATATGATTTCAGTGGGATGATATAGCTGGAGAGAGAAATGCATTGTCAAGATGGTATACTCTAGCAATTGTGGCATGATCCTTTTCATATGTGTAATATTTTGTATATGCTTTTAAGACTTAGATAACAGTATATACAGTGTGCATGACTTAGCTACAGTTGCGGGAATATTTTTTTAATTAATTTGTTCAAATCCAGAATATTGTGGTAATATAATTTTAGCTATATTTCTTATATTAAATAATGTAGAACAAATGTGTACTTTGCTCCAAATAAACGTACGGTATATCTTTACAAATGCATATCCAGAGGCCTTGTCTACACTACACAGTTTTGTTGATAAGTCAGTTTTTTACAACAAAACTGGGGAGGTGTACACTCAATAATGCTCCTGCTGCTGATTTAATTCGCCTGCTATGCCGACATAATAAAACCACCTCACAAGCGGCATAGAGCTTTTTGCAACTGTTAGAGCAACACAATGTCAGTAGAGACTGTGCGCTTGCTTATGTTGCCCTAAGTAGCCTCCAGGATGTGTCCCACGATGCCCATCGTGATTACTGGTAAGCAGTTTCTACTTTGCTGCAGGTACACAGGCATACACCCCTTAAAGCCCCAGGAATTTTTGAAATTTCCACTTCCTGTTTGCTCGATGTGGACAGCTCACCTTGCATCTTCCTAACTGACCATGCTTGCTTTCTGCATCAAACGCAGTCCCGCATGAAGTGCACTGGAGTTGCTGGATCTGTTGGGGCTGTGGGGAGAGGAGGCTGTGCAGTCACAGCTCTGATCCAGCTGTAGGAGCTTTGACACCTATGAGCAGATTGCTTGTGGTATGGATGAGAAGGGGCATGAAAGGGATAGGTGTCAGTGCCGTGTGAAGATCAAGGAGCTGAGGCAGGTGTACCAGAAGGCAAGAGAGGCAAACCATCGCTTTGGTATGGTGCCAAAAACATGCCACTTCATGAAATACTGCAGGATCAGCCACGTTGCATTCATAATGTTCATCACAAGACTGGTGAGCAGTGCAGGATCCATGCTTTCAGGCAGAGATGGCAGGTGCAAAGTTTATGGGAGCAGTTGAAAAACAACATGAAACCTAGTCAGAAGCCCTGGGAATTATGGGACAGAAAAAATTGCATCATGGGGCAATGATCCTGCCCTCATGGTGCACTGCGGTCCCTTCCCAAAACTCCTAGCAGGAGAAGGTGGTGATTTTCACAGTGGGGTTGCTACCCACAGTGCACTGCTCCATCTGTTGGTGCTAAAGTACCAACCGTGGATGCACTGCACTGACACAAGGATCGTTGTATGAATATGCGCGAGCAATGTAATTACAGTGGTTTGATTGTCATTGTAACTTAAGTCAACTTAAGTCAGTAATGTAGATATGGCTATATACAGGATTTTGTTCATAGGCAGCATATACATATATTTGAATATACTGTCACTTTCAGATCAAATGTAAATACTCTAAGAACGTAAGAGTGGCCATACTGGGTCAGACCAGTGGTCCATCTAGCCAAGCATCCTGTCTTCCAACAATGGCCAATGCCAAGTGCTTCAGAGGGAATGAACTTGAACAGGTAACTGTCATCCCGTCCCAGCTTCTGAAAAGTCGGAGGCTAAGGACACCCAGGGCATTGATGGACCTACCCTCCATGAACTTATCTAATTCTTTTTGAACCTCGTTATGTTTTTGACTCTCACGTCATCCCCTGGAAATGAGTTTCACAGGTCGACATTGCATTATGTGAAGAAGTACATTCTTCTGTTTGTTTTGAACCTGCTGCCTATTAATTTCATTGGGTGACCCCTGGTTCTTGTGTTCATGTGAAGGAGTAAATAACACTTCCTTATTCATTTTCTCCATACCATTCATGATTTTATAGACCTCTTATCATATTTCCCCCTTAGGTGTCCCTTTCCCAGCTGAAAAGTCCCAGTCTTTTTAATCTCTCCTGATATTGAAGCTGTTCCATACCCTTAATTATTTTTGCTGCCCTTCTGTACCTTTTCCCATTTTAATATCTTTTTTTGAGATGGGTGACCAGAACTGCACGTAGTATTCCGAGTGTGCCATGGATTTATAAAGTAGCATTATGATATTTTCTGTCACGTTATCTATTCCTTTCCTAGTGGTTCCTAGCATTTAGCTTTTTTGACTGCTATTGCACATTGAGTGGACATTTTCAGAGAACTACCCACAATGACTTCAAGATCTTTCTTGAGTGATAACAGCTAATTTAGATCCCACTTCTATTTTGTATGTATAGTTTGGATTATGTGCATTACCTTGCATTTATCAACGTGGAATCTCCTGTTTTGTTGCCCAGACACCCAGTTTGGTGAGATCCCTTTGTAACTCTTCACAGTTTGTTTTGGACTGATCTTGAGCAATTTTGTATCATCTGCAAAATTTGCCACTTCACTGTTTATCCCTTTTTCCTCTTGGGCTGTGTGCACTAGAGTGTGCACATTTCACTTCCAAAAGAGTAAAGTGGGGGTGGGGATAGAAATTATCTGGAAAGCTACCAGGATTAATTTGTTCCTTAGAGATATTTAATGTTCTGCTGGAATAAAGTGTTGCTGTCATCCTTAAGACAGTGTGGATCAGTTCCTTTATATGCATGTTTACCCCCTTGAAAAACACCACATATAAGTGAAATGTTCTGTCAGCATAGCGGCCTTGTTTGCAGGGCACACTGAAGTTGGGGACTCTTTCCTAGTCCATTTTATGCTTGGCCTATCAATCATCAGGTGGAATAGGACTTTTCCAGCTTTTCTTTATCTTGTGTTGCATCACGACAGGTTGCACACTCCAAATGGTGCAAAACTTCTGAGAATGTAAAATTTGAGATGATTTGGGTGATTTAATGACTACATAGTTAAACTGGTCTAGATTTCTACAAACATGTTAAAGGTAGTTTTCCTCCTTGAGGTATAAGCACACAGAAAGTTTGAAGTTTTAAACACATCTGGGCCATAAAATAGACATCTGAGAAGTTAGTTGCTGTAAAAACTAACCAAAACTCTAAGATGTCTATTCTAGTTAAAATAGTTTGAATGGTGGTTTTTGTTGTACTTATTTTCACTACAAGTGTTTTGATGAAAACCACAGACACGAAACTAGTGTAAACCCTTCTTCATGGATGGTTACAGCTTAAATATTTACAAAAACATACAGAGTACACTCAATTAGTAGTGAGGTCCTTACTTAAATCAACAAAAGCAAAACAAGGCAGTTCAGAGTTAAGGCTGACGTTTTAGTTAACTCATTATTATGTAAAATATTGAGTTAAGGACCAAAAGTCAGCCATCAATTTTAATTTCCCATCTTCATTTGTGTCTTACCTTAATATTATTTAAGTAACATTTTCTATATTTAATAGTTTCTAGTAACATGTTTAAATGGTTACTTGTTTTGTAGAAATAGCTTAACAATAATATTCTTTTTTCCTTAGAACTGAAGGAACAAGTCATCATGGGAGCATTTTTAGACAAGCCAAAGATGGAGAAGCATAATGCCCAAGGGCAGGGTAATGGGCTACGTTATGGGCTAAGTAGTATGCAAGGTTGGCGAGTTGAGATGGAGGATGCACATACAGCTGTTATTGGTTTGCCAAATGGACTTGATGGATGGTCATTTTTTGCGGTATATGATGGGCATGCTGGATCCCAGGTTGCCAAATACTGCTGTGAGCATTTATTAGATCACATCACAAGCAACCAGGATTTTAAAGGGTCCGATGGACCACCCTCTGTGGAAAGTGTAAAGAGTGGAATCAGAACAGGTTTTCTGCAAATTGATGAACATATGAGAGTAATCTCTGAGAAGAAACATGGTGCAGATAGAAGCGGGTCAACAGCGGTGGGTGTCATGATTTCTCCTCAACACACTTACTTCATCAACTGTGGAGACTCAAGAGGTTTACTTTGTAGAAACAGGAAGGTTCACTTCTTCACACAAGATCACAAACCAAGTAATCCACTGGAGAAAGAGCGTATACAGAATGCAGGTGGTTCTGTAATGATTCAACGTGTGAATGGCTCTCTTGCTGTGTCTAGAGCTCTTGGGGACTTCGATTACAAATGTGTCCATGGGAAAGGCCCTACAGAGCAACTTGTCTCACCTGAGCCTGAAGTTTATGAAATTGAGAGATCAGAAGAAGATGATCAGTTTATCATACTGGCTTGTGATGGTATCTGGGATGTTATGGGAAATGAAGAGCTCTGTGACTTTGTAAGATCCAGACTTGAAGTCACTGATGACCTTGAGAAAGTTTGCAATGAGATAGTCGACACCTGCTTGTACAAGGTAGCCAGAATTTTAAGAGGAGAAACCTATTATGTTTTCAGTACAGTAGTAGCAGTTTTTCCGTTATCAACAAGTGAAAATAAATTTTAGTTCAGATCTATAGAGTAGCTGAAGTTTAGTTTCTGTACAATTTTGTAAAAATAACACTATGATGCAATCATTCTACCGTTGAGCCACTTACTAGAATGCCATTGGGGATATAATTGGAACAGCAAATAGTAAGGGCACCTGGGCTTCAATAATGGGTCTCCTTATTTGGTTAGGAGTTTAAATCATGTAAAAATACATTGTGCTCTATTGCAAATCAGCACTTTTAAACAATGACCAAGGGAAATAAAACAGTGCCCTTTTTGCTGTTTCACAATGTAGTAAAAATGGATTTTAAAACATTTGATAGAAATATCAGGTCTGATCACGTTTCGCATAGAGACTGAATTACTTGAGAACTGGTGGTATTGGTATGAGTGGAAAATTTAGTAGCTGAGGAGAAATGATCTATTTCTAAGATTAAAGAAAGGAAATGGAAAAGATGTATAAGTAGTTTTTATACCTTACAAAAAAGTAAATAAAGGGCACAAACAATTTTCTTTTTTCCTCTTCTGTCATTGGGAAATGTAGCATTTCTGGCTGAATCATACCAAAATCCTTGCAAAATGACTGAATTTTGATTTCTAAAATTAAGAACTTCAATTAACTACTGAAATCTTTGATCTGATTTTTTTAAATTGTTCCTTATATAATTTTACTTCTGCATAAAAAAATCTTTTATTATACAATTACTTACAAAAATTTTTGTATAGCTTTTTGATGTCCAAAAGTCCAACTAATTATATCTGCTCAGGAAGACAGGCACAATTTTTACTTAACGAACACAGATTTTGTGATTGTTTTTATATGCAATGAGTCCGAATTTGTATGTTTCTATAAACAAAATGAAAGGTTGTTCTGTTGTTCAATAGGACAGACTGAACATTGTTAAAATTTCAGTGTTTGTTTTAACTTTCCCTAGACAAGCATTTAATTCTATTTATAAAACTGAGCTTTGATATGTAAGCTGTAAATAAAGGCAAGATAGCATCATTAGTATTGGCACCATTTCTCTAAAGAGGTGTGAAACAATGACCCCGTTAACTATGTAATAGTTTTTTAGAGACAAGTGGGTGAGGTATATCTTTTATTGGACCAATTTTTGTTGGTGAGAGATACCGAAAGAAGAGCTCCACAGAACTGCGGTATCTCTCACCAACAGAAGTTGGTCCAATAAAAGATATTACCTCACCCACCTTGTCTCTCCAATATCCTGGGACAAACGTAGCTACAACAACATTGCATAAATAGATTTCTATCATTTTAAAAAGTTGAACTTCATTCACTGCCAATTTTTCATTTATAATTTTGGCTGCGCTAGTCTGCAAAATGTAAATACCACAGGGCAATACTGCTTTTCAATAGCTTCATGGTTTAAGCACCAATCTTGCAAATACTTGCATCCGTGCATACCATTATTCACATGAGTAGCCTCATTGGCTTCAGTAGGACTACTTGTGATTAAAGTTCAGCATCTATGTAAGTGTTTGCAGAATAGGGCCCTTAACAGTTGGAAAATCATTTGAATCAATATTTAGTACGTTTTTTCTGCAAGGCGTGGTTGTACAGTACTGCCTTCAAGTATTTTATTAAAGTTGTGCTTATTTTGCTCACTTGTATTCTAAAAGATTACATAGTGAGAAATAAACACATTTTTCATTCGCACATGAGAAATGTCACTTACACTACTTCCTCTTAATGATTGGCCCTTAGGCCTACTGTAGGGAACTGTCATTTATGGAAATGCACATTTGACACTAGCAATATTTTTAGTTGTCTAAGTTGGGTTTTTTTGATTTTTCTTTATAACTGGCTTCAGATATCTTAAATGTTCCTATTTAAGCATTTAATATACCTACAACTAATGTAACCTTTCCCTCCAAACAATATTAACATTTAAGCAGGATGGAAACAGGTTTTATAAATCTCAATAATAAATCTCCCATGTTGTTAGTTTTGCAAATAATTTCAGCAAGACGGGAGTCATCAACTATAGGCTCATTGTAAACATCAATCATGAAGGAAAAAGTTAACAAAGTATATTTAAAAACTTGTTTGTACTGAATGGTACTCAACATGCAGACTTCTTGAACAGTGTTGTTTGCAAATGCTACAATTTTTTATTTAATGGTATGATGGAAGAAAGTGTTCTAATTTCACATGATTAGCAAACTATTTTAAATATTTTAAATTTATTTTAAATTTAATTTAATTTTTATTTTAATTATTTTAAATAATTATCAACTGCTTTGATATGGACATGGAATAAAATCAGAGTGTGTATTATTCATTGGATACAGGATATTGTCTCAACTGTTTTGTTTTTTTCTCTAACAGGGAAGTCGAGACAACATGAGTGTGATTTTGATCTGTTTTCCAAATGCACCAAAGGTATTGCCAGAGGCGGTGAAGAGAGAGGCAGAGTTGGACAAGTACCTGGAAAGCAGAGTAGAAGGTGGATCATTTAAAAAAAAATAAGTAGCTTTGTTTCTAAGCAATCCCCCAAACAACTAAACTCTTAACACATGTAGGTTTTTTTATTAAACCTTGAAGTGCCATTGGACATTTAGGCTCTCTGCACTTGGAGCTAGGAGGTGTGATTCTTAGCTTGCATAGACGTACTCGTACTAGCTCTCATTGAGTTAGTGCTCTAAAAATAGTAGTATAGCTGTGGTAGCATGGGCTGCATTGGACAGTGGCACAGGCTAGGTATGCAGAGTACAAACGCTCCTGGACCCTGAGAGACATAGGCAGGATGGATAGCCTTTGCTGCTGCTCACCGCTGCCCTTGCCACTGTGGCAACATTACTATTTTTTGAGCGAACACGAGTGTGTCTACATGAGTTGGGAATCACACCTCTAGCTCCAGGTGTAGATGTAGCCTACATATAATCTCTGAAAAAGGCACTCCCGTATTCTGTTGGATGTATGCTGTATGTCATGACAAAATGCTACTAAAACAGAAACTGCAGAAGCTTATGGCCCAGGAGATTCTATTTAGGATGGCAGAGGAAAGTAATCTACTTGTATTCAAAGTTCTTGATGAGTCCATTGGCATCACTAACTTCAGACCTGTAAATTCTGATTCCTGGCATGTGCATTTGAATGAAATCTGGCAGCATATTTTTGAAGATGGTAATTTGAGGGCCATTTTTCTGTAAAGCTATGTTCAGTTACATGGCCCTAATAAGTATATTGTATGATGATTTAAGGGTCACAGCAATATTACTGTTAACATAATAGCACTTGCTAATGTGATTATATTTAAGAGTAAAAGCCTATCAACATTTCTGTTATAGCTAAACCTTAAACCTTCATACTGAACTGAAGCTGGGCATATAATGTACCATCCTGCCAGTAACTTTTTAAAAAGCAAATTATATTTACATTTGTTTGTTTTTTTTTTTTTATTTTTAATTTTAAAAGGGAAAGAGAAGTGGAACTGTTTCAGGCACTTTGTGCCATGTAGCTAAAAATGTGTTGACTTAAAACATAATTTTAATATTTTTGTAATCTGGACTGTAGTGCCTTTGGGTATTAAAAACTGAAGCAGAGATTGGGGTTTAAGAAGCAGCTACCCCGATGTCCTCAGATTTCCTAAATATCTAAAACACTTACTGTACACATGCAGTTTAGTACATAGATGAAATTAATATTTTTCAAATGGAAACATATTGAGGATCTAGATTTTAATTATTCAGTTATTATGATATATCATGTTACTAATATCCAAGGTAAGAGTCCCTAATAACATGCATTGGCATGATATGCACAGCTCTTAGGGTTTTCATATCAGTGACTGATGAATTATATAAATGCCTCATGAACTTTTTCCCTTTTAACTGTTGTTAAAAATCTTGGAGATTGGAGATTTGACTTAACTTGAATATACCGTGGTCGTAGAGTTAAAGTTGCATCTCCGTTAACTGACCCCATTGGCATATGTGTATTACAGTAGATGGAATGGGAACATCACGTCCAGATATTGCTGAATGAAGATCCTAAGTATTAGAACTGCATAAGGTTATGGTGTAGGGCAGTGGTTCTCAAAGCCGGTCCGCCACTTGTTCAGGGAAAGCCCCTGGCAGGCTGGGCCAATTTGTTTACCTGCTGCGTCCGCAGGATTGTCCGATCGTGGCTCCCACTGGCCGTGATTCGCTGCTCCAGGCCAAGGGGGGCTGGGGGAAGCGGCGCAGGCCGAGGGATGTGCTGGCTGCCGCTTCCCACAGCCCCCATTGGCCTGGAGTGGTGAACCGCAGCCAGTGGGAGCCGCGATTGGCCAAACCTGCGGATGCAGCAGGTAAACAGCCCGGCCCACCAGGGGCTTTCCCGAACAGGCGGCAGACCAGCTTTGAGAACCACTGGTGTAGGGAACAATGCATTTGTTTGGTTGCTGAGTTTCTTGCATTTTTAGAAATAACACATTTCAGGGACAAGTGAAACTTCATATTTGTCTGTGTGAGTGGGGGAAATTTACATGATATAAAGCACTTTAATCCTAATTCAGTGGACACATTTAGAAAAATATATTGCTGCTACCCCTTTAGAGTCCACACTTTGTTTTAAAGTTATTTTTCTTGGACTTAAACATCTTTTCCCTTTGATAATGCACACAGAAATAGTATTTACACTTTTTATTATAAGCAAAAAATGCAACCTTATAGCAGTTTATAACATTGCATAGTTTCTGAACTTACAGCCCTCTCACTACCATGAGTGAAATTTTTGGGACTATATGTGAGAAAGGGAAACTCAAGCCACAGTGTCACTTTATTACATTAAACTTAACCATATTTATGCAATTAAAATAAGATTGTTTCATGCTGGAAACTTAATATACAGTATTGTCTACTGAGGTGGGACTAATATGGCCATTGCTGAAACTTTCAACACTGTGCTGAATAATCTTACTACTGTTATCTTGAAATGCCTTAGTAATAATGCAGTGTTTAAAATTTTAAAAGCTACAATTTCAATTGAAGAAATTGGTAAATGTAAAGAAATTCTGAAAGTGGTTTTTACCAGTCTGTAATGTCTAATTTAGAAATTTAAAATCCAATAAAATGGAAATTTTGTGAATGAGCACTGCAATACATAGCAGTTATATAACAAAATAGGCAGTTTGACCAGCAAACATAGTCCAAGTAATGAGGTTAGATTATATTTTAATATACATTTTCTTGTTGATCAGTTACATAAAAGCATTTTTCATCCCATAATGTGTGGTAAAATCTTATTTTAATATCTTCGTATTAAAGTTTGTTGTACTTAATGCTGTAAAGAAGGTCATGTATTGATGGCCATCTTGAACAACAAAAGGGAATAAAAAAACCTGGCTGATACAGGTTTCTACTCTTCCCTCTTACACCAGACTATCCTTCACTCCTTTAACCTACGTTCTTGCATTAATGTTGGACACTTCTGTGGCTCACATTTAGAGCTGAAAATGTCTAACAGGAGGTGAAGTATAAGTGGCAAAACATCTTCGTGCCATCCCTTTCTAATAAATCAGTGTTGCTTCTAAAAGGTTTTGAAGACTTGCTGGCTGGAAAAGATTAATCAATCATTCCCAGATGTATTCCTCTAGTTGCACTATTACTCCAGTTACTGAGCTGGTTTGACTTTTTTTTTTTAAATTAATATTCCTTAAGCTCTTTGCCCCATTCTTTAAAACAAATTTTGTAGCATATACATACTTAACACAGTAACAAATCTGGTTATTAGATACATGTAATCCACGGAATTAATTGAAATGGATAATTTTAAATTAACTGGCCATTTTTCAGCAAAACCTGAAATGTTCGATTTTTAAGAATTTTATATGAACTTTCCATTCAAAACAGGAAATAAGTAGACACATTTCGAATTCTTTATTTTTAGTGTAAGTACATTTTTTTCCCACTGTCTTAAATGGTGAAAACATTTAGAAGGTTTAAAGTAGGTTAAAGAGAAAGGGATGCAAGATGCATTGAAACAAAAGATAATTTAATAATTATTTAAAAAAAAAAGCAATGGATTGGTTCCATTTGTTGTCATCAGTGTTATTTCAGACTGTATCTATAGTTCTCTCCAATTATAAATGTATTCATTTAGTGGTGACTGTATGTTAAATGTACTGCAGCTTTAGGTTGTGAAACTGTGTAGTTTAGGCAAACTATAAATCCCTTTATTTTTGTACAGCAGAACTTTAGCTTTAGAATGATGTAGAATATACTAGATGTTGAAGATTACACAATAAAGGAACTTGGCGAACCAAATCTGAGATCTTTGCTTTTTATTCAGATTTAAAAGTGTTAGAATTCTTTTTCCTAAATGCTAGATGGTAAAATATGAAGTTTGGCCATAGTTCTTGAGAAAGTGGCACATTTGAGTTTTGAGATGTTTGCCTAATGTGTAATGTCACATGTTGGATTTCTTTCCTACTTAAAATGTAGAACTAAACAGCTAATACTTTGTACTGCAAATTTTGACATTTGGTTATTCTACTGCAAGTAAGGGCATGCCAGTGTTTCCAGTGTCGATTACTTGCATAGAATCTGGCTGCAAATTGGGCTAAAACTTTTTGCATAGAAGGTTGCAGCCCAGAAAACCCGTTCTGTGCACACAAATCAGTTCGTGAATTTGTACTATTTTTTTTTATTTAAAAGGAAAGTATACTGGTTTTAGACACTTTAGTCTGCCATTAACTCACCAATATGAGTTTAAAATGGTATTTCGTACATCTTGATTATTTTTTTCAGTATTTGGGATAAAAAGATAAATTGTCAAAAATATTTAAATTGGAAGTGGGTTCTCCATGTGTTCAAATTACTTTTTTCAAATAAATTTTGGAAAGATTTTACTACATAAAGACTATTTAACTGTGCATGCGCATTATTGTACACATGCCATGACATCCACTTGGAGATCAACAACTCCAAGCTGATTATTTAATAAAATATCCTTCTTAAATAATGTCCTTGAAGGAATTTCTAGTGTATTGAGAAATTTATATACATTTAAATGTCATGGGATAGTAGACAATTCTCATTTACCTTGTAAAAAAAATTAACGGATTTCCCAAAAGTGGAAGAAGTCTGATTTCCTTCCCTCCCCCCACCTCCTGAAATGTGATAACTAACGTAAATTCAGCTGCATATGTGAGTGTTCAACACCTCAGAAGATGAGGCTTAAGAAATTTAGCTAGCTGCAGCTTTATTCTTAGCACACTTTGCTGTGGCTACTGTAGAGATTCTTTTGCTTACATGACGAAGAGGTGGATTGGGTTTGTTGTATGTAAAATCACCTGCTGTTGAAATATCCCTTTGGTGAGTTAAGGACAGAGTTGTATCTTAACTCTGACATTCTTGGCTCTTGTCAGTTTATGCATAATGACTTTTTATGTTTTTATGTTAATTTGCAATCTGGTATAACTATATAAAGCATATTATAAACAAAACACCTAACTTCTTGTTTCTTCAAAATATTGTATTTTCTACCATGGCAATAACCTTTTAACATTCATTCATATAAAAAAATTGACATTAAAAGATGGCTTTTTCGCAGATGTTTCATTGGCAAAATACAATAATTATGTTGTAGTGAAGCCTATTTAGAACTACCTAGTTTGTTTAGCTGTTAAGTTACCCTTTGTTATGTAATATACTAATCAAAAAGATTACAGTTTTGGAAGTATAGAACTATGTGAAGAACAGATCGTAGTTGGTCTTTTTTTGTCAAATATCCAATAGCTTTTTACAGGTACACTAGCTTTTTTGTTATGGCACCAAAGATTACAGACCGTGTCCAACATGGTAAATGCTGTCTTTTAAAATGTTAAACTGCTTTTTGATAAAACTGAGTGTTTCAATCTTTTCAAGTTAAATTTGGACTGCACTTACCAAAAAAGTACTTCTGATTCCCAGAGATCATAAAGAAGCAGGGTGAAGGAGTGCCAGACTTAGTCCACGTGATGCGTACGTTAGCAACTGAGAGCATCCCAAACCTCCCGCCAGGGGGTGAATTGGCAAGCAAGTGAGTCTACGTTAGTGTAAATGTGCTTTTGGTCTAAATTAACAGAGACTTTTTGTAAGGCCACTCTTAAAAATAAATAAATTGAAATAAGGTTTATGGGGACCAAAAGGGCATCGTCCATTCTCAACTAATCTTTCACATTTTGATCTGTTTTAAGTTTGGAAAAAAATCCATGCACAAGACCGTGGTTGACTGTGGATGATAGTTTCTAAAATTAAAAATATGTGAATGTCAAACTATAGTTGTAGAAAGAATGGACTGCTTTTAAGGGTGGCCTCCTCTGTTAATTGTAGCTTTAAAATGTTTACTGCTTTTACTTTTTAAGATGTAAGGGAAATGTAATGCATATAATGGCTCATTTTGAAAAGTAGTTTATGTACATAGTTAACAAATAGCGATTACTCTGTGCATTTAATGCTTCGCTTGGCAGCTTTCTTTGCTTTTGCTTTTTTGTTAAATGTATCCCTCTTTTTTTAGAATTATAAATAAGCTGTTTAGCTAATTATCCCTTTAAAGGAAATTACTGCCTCACCCTGGCTAAGCAGGGGATTGAATTTAAAACTTTATACAGATTCATTTTGATTGTTGTCTTAAAGAGATAGTCTGAAACAAAGTTACTAGTTTTATGCATTAGCATTAAACCATCAAAGAATTCAAATCTCAAGCTCCTCTGTCCAGTAAATCAAGCAATTTTAGTATAGATTGCTCACGAACCAATATTTTTCTATTTTAAAATGTATTTATATGAATACATTATAAACTATCTATTTCAAATTTTATCATTTTCATAGTGTGGTGTTTGCTTAAGCATGATAGCTTTCTTTTAGCTGTCTTTGTGATAAATTATCTGTTTGTGATGTCAGAGTTATGACTTCCAGTGAGCAATAAACAGCTAGACTCCAGAGCAAATGAACTTCTAAAGAAACAAAAACCTTGTTTTCATGCTAATGTTTCAGTGTTTAAAAAAAAAGAAAACTGAGCCGCCAGTATGAGATGTCAGAACGGTATCTATTTTTAGAATATATTTAATTTTCTTTGAAGCATCATTGAGTCTGAGTTATTGTTAACACATTTGGCAAATCTAAATATTGCAACATTAAATTGGAATGTGTATCATTCTTTTGACTCCTCTTTCTAGCTCTGTTTTTTTTTTCTTCTATTGGGCTTGTGAGCAAATCTCTCCTGCTGCACCTGACTTAAGAGTATTTTTATGGTGCTAGTGAAAGTGGTGAAAACAGACACCTTTTCATGGGAGACTATTACCTGTGTTGCAGCAGAGCTACATCATTCTGAGATGTTAGATCTGTTCTGTTTGTTATTGTACTGTGTCCTATAAACAGATTATGTTACCCAATTGCACTACCTGGTTGATTTAAATAACCTAGACTGCAACTAATTTTAAGTGTTAAGACTAAAAATTGACTTATTTTACTCCCATCCTATGTTGGTGTTTCTAACTTCAGGATTCTCTTGTGCGTGTTTGTGTGTGATAATTTTGCAAATCAATTGTTATGGCTCATTGGTTTTGTTTTAAAGAAATATCTGCAATACCTGTGTAACTGAGAATATGCTGATTTGTTTACTCTGAGATGCAGGCTTTTAGCTAGTTAGTGAACAAATGCAATAGCAGCTTAGGCCCAGATTCAAGAAACCATTCCCTGTTCAGGGACAGCACTTAAAGAATAAAAACAATGAGGAGTCCTTGTGGCACCTTAGAGACTAAGAAATGTATTTAGGCATAAACTTTTGTGGGCTATAACCCACTTCAGCAGACGCATGGAGTGAAAAATACAGTAGGCAGGTATAAATATACAGCACATGAAAAGATGGGAGTTGCCTTACCAGCAATTCTTGATGTCTGACCCAGGAACCAATCCCTACAACAAACCTTGTTGCTAACTCTATCCGCGTATCTGTTCAAGGAACACCCATCATAGGACCTAACCACATCAGCCATACCATCAGGGGCTCATTCACCTGCATATCTACCAATGTGATATATGCCATCATGTGCCAACAGTGCCCCTCTGCCATGTACGTTGGCCAAACCGGACAGTCTCTACGCAAAAGAATAAATGGACACAAATCAGACATCAAGAATTGTAACATTCAAAAACCAGTAGGAGAACACTTCAGTCTCCCTGGACAGTCAATAACAAACTTAAAAGTGACCATTCTTCAACAAAAAAGTGGCCAGACTTCAATGAGAAACTGCAGAGCTGGAATTAATTTGCAGACTTAACACCAAATTAAGCCTGAATAAAGACTGGGCATGGCTGGGTCACTATAAAAGTAATTTTCCCTCTGTTGATACTCACTCTTTCTTGTCAACTGTTGGGAATGGGCCACATCCACCCTGATTTAATTGGCCTCGTTAGCACTGATCCCCCACTTGGTAAAGCAACTCCCATCTTTTCATGTGCTGTATATTTTTACCTGCCTACTGTATTTTTCACTCCATGCATCTGATGAAGTGGGTTATGTCCACAAAAGCTTGTGCCCAAATAAATTTGTTAGTCTCTAAGGTGCCAGGAGGACTTCTCGTTGTTTTTGCTGATACAGACTAACACAGCTACCCCTCTGAAACCTTTAACTTTTAAATGTGTGCTTAATTAAGTTACTGAACTGGGCCTTAATATAACTCAAAGAGATGCTGTCAATTTGAAAATCATTTATCTGACAATTGTCTACTTGTAACACCTGAGATAATTATGTCTGAAAGATTAGAGAGGAGTCTGTTTTTCAGTTTGTGCATGGAATATCACTTTTTGATAGTCAGCTTTGCTGTTTTCCTTGTTTATCTGGAACAGTAAGGGGATAGGGGAAGGAAAAGACTTTAAAAAAAAAATGTTATGGTAAACCCACACATTTTTCAAGGGAAATCAAAGACAGTGGTAGTACCTGAAACTACTTCTAAAACTCTTTTTTTATAAAAATTTACTAGATGTCAAAATGATGGGGGTTCTGAAAAAGTCCTTCGTGGTGTTTGGTTTGTTGTACTGTCATGTTGTGTTAAAGGAAATAATTTTCTTAATTATTTTAATTATAAAACGCTTTTTTAGAATGTGAGTAATTTAGAATATTTTACTGATTAAATTTCAGGTTTCTGACATGATTGCATAGCTAGCTGCTTTCTCTCTGAGAATCTTTTCACAGAGACAGCATTATTATTGGGATGTTTTTATCATGCTGAAATTAATTATTAAAATTGGAAGCAAAAAGTTTGGTTTAAAAAACTAAGGCTGAAATTTTTTCAGTGCAGTCCAGCAATACCCTCAAACAGTATTACTTTCTCTTCAAAAATTGTACACCTTTTGGAACTCTAGACATTAGGATGTCTGGAAATGGGCAGGTGATAGATCCAGATTGTTACTCATGGCCAAATAATCAATCCCTACCTTGTTTATGCTGCCCAGAAGTTACTAGGTGATTCTTTGGAAGTGGTTGTGCTGATTAGGATCTTCCTCATTCCCTTGTCTCTTTTGCTGTTCTCTACCTATCATGGAATCTCCCTGCTTATTCCTCACCCAAAGTCCCTCATTCCAAAACTAGATACACCAGCCCAGCCCGCACCCTTGCTAGCATGCTACCAACATGGCCCCTCCAGGATACTGACCCCTTTACATTTTCCTGTATTTCCTACACTATCCCTGAACATATGCCTGGAGTCAGTAATAGGTCAGTTTATATTTATAAGTATTGGGGAAAAAAAATTAAAACAGCTCATTATGAGTGTAGCCCAGTCTGCAATCATGACTAACAGAAAGACAAGGGAGAGGATGACATTCTGCCACTTTAAGGCATGAACATATGTGCAGAGCACTTCTCCACCTGACCCTATTGTATAGAGTAAGAACCGAGGCATTCTTCAGCTTTGTCCCCACATCCCCCATTCACCCCCCTCCCCAAAAAAACCCCTATCAAAAGTCTTTAAAATCTCTTAATTGTACTAGACCTTCATTTTCTCAGTTATATCATGCTTGCTGAGGAAGGCAAATACTTCCTCTTTCCCTTAGCATTCCACTGTTTTTTAGTCTTATTGCTCTAACGAACCCCTTGTTAATCTCTTCCCTTACAGTTGGGTAAGCAGGGATCACAAGCTATTTTTATGTTTTATTATATATCTTTGTAATTAATCCTCTACTCCTCATCCACCCCCAAAGTGCAATCAGCAAGGCACAAAAAAGGGGAGGGGAGGAGTACCAAAGCCAAGCTGTTTTGTGAGAGATTATAAAAATTAAAAGTTCAGACATTAATAAAAGGTAAATTTTCAACACAATATAAACTCGTGCTGATTTCTACCAAATTCCCCAGGAATATATCTCTGTTGCAGGGTGAGATATACTATACAAAATTTCTGTTTTAAATTGAGATTGGTTTCTTTTGGAGGATAATTGTAAAAGGGAGTTGAAAATCGGGCATGTAATAGGAAGCTGCTACTGCTCTATTAAAAATAAATAAATAAATAACCTAACAAGATTTATAATGGAAACTAACTTAAACCAAACCAAGAATGCAGAGCTTTCATTAAGGGGCACACTAAAAATTGTATTCAGAAAACACACATACCGTGCTCTTGTGAAAAATATTATCTTTGTACATCAATGGTGTGGTGTTTACTGCCACCATATCCTGCAAGCACACAAATGCATATGGTTTACACTGCTCATCACTCTGTAACCTCCTTGTTTTATTACTTCAGAGACAAAAGGTGGGCATGCCCCTGTCAGTATATCAGGAGCAGACATTTGCATATGAGACTTTTCAATTAGACTATGTAATTTTCCATTTTGTTGGCAAAATCCTTAGGAGTGTTAACCTTTTTAAACTATCTCTTCCTGAATCCAAAAGAGAGCACTGCATAAATTATACATGGCAGCTTTATTTGCAAAAAACTGAAGTTCTATACATTTTGAATGTTTTTACCATTTTTAAGGTTTTGCATTTTAGTACGTCATGATTGCATTTAGGAAATGTCTGACTTAATTTTAGAAAATCCTTAATATTTTGTTTTCTGTTTTGGTTTAGACGGAGTGTGATTGAAGCTGTTTATAACAGACTGAACCCCTATAGAAATGATGATGCTGTAAGTACTTTCATTCTCCCATCATTTCCGTCCTACCCTTTGAAATCTTTCAACCCTTTTGTGCAGACCCTACTACAGCTCTTTGACAGGGGAGGGATTTTTTCCAAAAATGCATTCTGTAGACTGTGCCCTGTGAGTTCTCTTCCTCCCCTCCCCCCTTTCCCTCATCTGAACCTTCAGAACTCTTATTTGTTCTTATCCTCTATCAGTTCAAGACTTGAAAGTCTGATTGTATTCTGTCTTCTCATTTCCCCACATCTGGTGCCAGATCCCACCACTAGAAGCAGATATTGTCTTGTTTTGAGATATCTAATTTTATTTGGTTCATCCCTGATACCACAGAGATAGTGGGAAATCTGTGTTAAAATATTTTTCATTAAGATATCATTTTGTGAAATTTTAATTCCCTGAATTACAGGCAAAAGTGTTCTTATTGTAACTTTCTGCTGGATGCTTAGTAGTTTAAAAGTTGCTATGATTAGCATATTTACAATTCTAGTTCAGTTAACATAATTTTCTGATCATTGGATTATATTATGCTGTAACTTCCCTAATATATTTTTCACAGTGAAAATTCAATAAAAACAATTATAAAATGGGAACAATAACTCCATTTAAAACTGAACCACTTTGTGGAAACATCTTTAAATTCTCGGGAGTACTGTGTCTCAGAAAGAAAGCAGTTACTTTTTAATGTCTCTAGCATCTAATACCATTAATATGATTTTTTTAATTAACAAAAAATTATATAAGTGAAATGCAGTTTGCAAATGCTTTGGCGTAACAGAAGCTGCACAGTTGGTCTTAAGCTTTATTTGCTACAGTTTACAATGAGCCTCTTCTATTCTTGTCTCCTCCCATTTCTAAGAAATTGACCCATATCTATAAGTAAAATGGAATTATCCCTGCATAGGGATGATATGCAGTCATTCATTGTATAACTCTTCTGCAAATGTACAGTACTCAAATCTAAGTGTCATTGGTAGTCAGAGTATAGGAATTTGCATAGTACGTAGTCAGTAAGTAAATTTCTGCACTTTGACTTGATGCTGACTTAATTTTTTATGTGCTCTAACAAACATGGCCACCTCAGATTCTCACCCTGCCTATCCTAGTCCTTTCTAGCTTCTGCCTTCTACTACTTGTAGTCCCATAGGAAGGCTTAGACATTAGTCTTACAAATCATAATTTTTTAAAAGTAAATAATTCATTTTAATTTTCATGACCAATATTCTCTTTCCGGTCCTGCAAAGAGAGAGAATCCTATTAAATTCTACTTAACAGCTGAAGAAGGAGTACAGGGCTGCACATCAGCTCCACCAATCTAAAGTAGTGAGAGATGGCATTGCTCAGACATACTTTAAACAGAAGCCTCTTTCCTCTTAAAGTGATGCCTCTGACTGTGTAAACACAATCTTGCTGACAACTTCTGATCAGTAAAACTGATGGGCAGTCCAGTATTCCTCATTCAACTTTTTTTCTGTTAAATTCTTTGTGCAGAGGGGAAAGAGGATGAAAAAATAAGTATGAGGAGGGAAAGAGGAGAGCTGATTAAGCATAATTTATTATAAGGACATTCCAAGACACACAAAACTGTTAAAATGGAGTTAAGGCTGATAGTTTAATAACTTGAAGATAAAGGTGTCTTACAGGGATGTTGTAATTATCCAAGAACCAAGTATTGCAAATTCAGATAATTCAGAGTTAAGGTTACACTTAAAACAAATCTAAACATATTAAAATATAGAAATGTACAGTTAAGACACCCAAGCAACTTTAACTCTTCCCTGTAGTGATACCATATGGCCATTTTAGGGTTTATGGTTCCAGATTAAACTGATTTTTAACGATAGCTTTTGCAATATTTTCCCCTCATGTCATTACAAGAGGAGAATTTAGGTTGCTTTGGGTGCCATGTGTATTTTCCATATCTTAACATGTTTAAATTTCTTTTAAATTTAATCTTAACTCTCAATAAATTACTTATGGTGTGACTTGGATTCTAAGCCTTCCTTACAGCAAGAGGGTTGAGAATAGGCATCTGGTTTTCGACCGGAACACCCAGTCGAAAAGGGACCCTGGCGGCTCCGGTCGGCACTGCTGACCATGCTGTTAAAAGTCCAATTGGCAGTGCAGTGGGGCTAAGGCAGGCTTCCTGCCTGCCCTGGCTCCATGCAGCTCCTGGAAGCAACCAGCATGTCCCTGCAGCCCTTAGGTGCCGGTGAGATCAGGGAATCTCCACACGCTGCCCCTACCCTGAGCGCCGGCTCCACAGCTCCCAATGGCTGGGAATTCCGGCCAATGGGAGCTGCAGAGGTGGTGCCTGCAGGTACAGGCACCGTGCAGCGCATCCTGGCCGCCCCTTTGCCTAGGAGCCAGACATGCTGGCTGCTTCCAGGAGCTGCATGGAGCCAGGGCAGGCAGGGAGCCTGCCTTAACCCTGCTGTGTCACTGACTGGGAGCCGCCTGAGGTAAGCGCCACCCGGCTGGAGCCTGAACCCCCATCCGCACCCCTGCCCCAGGTCAGAACCTCTTGGGCCGTGCACCCTACACCCCCTCCCAAACCCCAACCTCATCCCTGAGCCCCCTCCTCCATACAAACTCCCTCCCAGAGCCCATGCCCCAACCTCCTGCACCAGCCTAGTGCCCGCTTCTGCGCTTCAAACCCCTCCTAATCCCTGGTCCCACCCCAGAGCCCACACCCCAACCTCCTGTCCCAGCCCAGAGCCTGCTCCCACACTCCAAACCCCTTGGCCCCAGCCCGGAGCCCTCTTCTTAACCCTGAACCCCTCATACCCAGCCCCAGCCCAGAGACCACACCCCCAGCTGGAGCCCTCACCTCTCCTGCACCCCAGCCCAGAGGCCCCTTCTGCCCCCTCACTCCTCATTTCTGGCCCCACCCCGGAGCCCGCACCCCCAGCCGGAGCCCTCACCCCTGCCCCAGCACAGTGAAAGTGAGTGAGGGTGTGTGTGGGGGAGGTCTCGGGGAAGGGGTGGGGCCAATGGTGTTTAGTTTTGTGCAATTAGAAAGTTGGCTACCGTAGTTGAGAAGGCAGTCAGAGTAGGTAGAACGTAATTAAGAATAACTGGAAACATGCTCCCTGTGAACTTAGCACACCTGCAAGAAATTGTCCAAATAGATACATTTAGTATACTGTCTTTTTTAGGTTCTACTGGTAATGTTTTTGAATGTGCTGGTATTGATGTTAACAATTATTTAGAGCAGCTTTAAAGGTTTAGAAAACAAAGTATATTACACTTGAGACCAGGTGTTAAAACACTGCTTTAGTGCTAGCTAATATTTACTGAATTAAAATAGTTTAATGAATATACATTTTTGCATGTTGTTAGGAATAGTGTTTTACAAGTATCTAGTATGAAACCCTTCATTAAAGGGAAAAAAGACTCCTACAATTATCCATATTTTTACCCTTTTCAGTCTGGATTATCCAGAAACCGCTGTAATTTTGGGCACTCCAGACTTTAAAGGTTCCTTCTTTTTTCTCTATTAAGGACTCTGCATCAACTGATGATATGTGGTAAAACTGCCCATCTAGCTGTGGAGTTTACATTCATCCTCCAGTTGAAAGTGCGGCCCAACCTCAGTGACCCTTCTTAACGTCCATCCTCAACCTTATTTAAAGAAGGGATTATGATGTGTTGGTGAGAGTGACTACACCAGAAAACTACAGCAGTACGACATCTAGCCCAGGAACTGATGTTTTTTTTGTAAAACAGACTTCTGTAAACGTGATTTCAAACCATAATTCATGTTGTAAATCAGACTCCAGCAATTTATGTTGTATGATTTTGTTTTTGTAAAGTGCAATTGTCCTTGTACAAAATGCTCATATTTAATTATGAACTGCTTTAAATCACTATAAAGGTTAGAAGAAATGTTTGGCTTGTTGTGTGATGCAACAAATATATAGCCCTTTAAATTTATGTTGTGGTTTTGGATTGCAAGGAGCAGCAGCCTAGCCAGCTAGATGCTCAAGAGGTGCACAAAACTGTAAGATTATTTTTTATTTTATATAAAGCAGAACATTCGGGCAATTTATCCCAACTGTAGTATATGAATTTGCTTGGCAGTGGGAAAAATAACTAATATACTGCTCGTTCTCCAACAAACCTATCTTTTTATGTTTTCTGTTGCTATTTACTATGGTCCCAGTCCTGCTGCCACTTGAAATCAACAAGAGTTTCGGCTGTGACTTCAATGGAAGCAGGATCATGCTGTATAATACAGTGCAATCATAAGTATACCAATTCTGAGGTTAGAATGCCTTGATTCTTTGCACCTCTTTTTTACAAACCCTTACCCGAAATTACTAATCAGTTGAGCAAGAGGGAGCAACTTTCTACATACAGTAGGAGTCTGCAGCATTTTTACTATCCTGATTGGCTGAGTCTGCTGCTGTTCCAAGTAAAATATTCTGAATTCCATTTTATCAATAAAGCTTGATTTAAAAAACAAGAAATTTAATCATATATGTGTAATTCCTCTTTTTTTCTGCCTTTTGAAATTCTGTGCCATTGTAAATGAGATTTCACATGTGGAAAAAATATTTTTAAATAATTGGTAGCCCATTTTTAAAATGGGGAGAACTTTGACTGTTGCCCAAGGCATAGAAAGACACTGGAGGATGTAGTGGGTTTAATCTGTTACTCTATTTTACATGGATTTATTTCAGGCTTTTTATTTTTCACTGAGATGAGCATCAGTTTGAATTTGCCTACTGTTTAATGAAAATACATTTGTCAAAGCCTGACAATCTTAACATTTTATGGTATGTGTGTTTTTAATTGACCCACTTATTTAGAATGAGAAACTAGTGGTTAAACAGTATTTGTGATTTGAAATATAGCATGTTGACAATATGTAACTGTTGGTCATTAAAATTAAATTCTAATTTAAAAATTAAGGGTAATAAACATAAACTAAATTGACTTAAGCTTAACTTTCTCCCATTGAACATACAAAAAGTAAGTTTTCAAATCAGTCGTGTTTGCAAAACTACTGTTTTGTGCACCTTGTATTCTTGTCTTCTTAGGTTGAGGATATTGTGTTTGTTGTTAATATAGTAGTTTACTTTAATCATTCAGTAGGCAGAGTCCCCAAAAGGAAAATCAGTAAAATATAAGTAGCTTGTAACACTTACCACAACTAAACAAAAAATCAAAACTTGGTGTAAAATTACTTTTTGATAGGAAAATGTAGTACAATGCGTTTTGCTATATTTGTCTTTTCCCTAACTTTGAAATATACATATTTGTATATATAGCCTTAAAACTAATGCAGAGTTAGGGAACTTTGAACAGTGAAAAAGTAACTTATAGTGTCTCAGAATTAAGTATAGTATATACCAGCAAAATCTTTCTTTTATCCCTCTTGTTTATGTGGGGTGCTTAAACGTAACTTCATTGTATTCAGTTTGTAATCTGTTCAAGCATGAATGAAGAAACCATAAGCACTATTTGTATTTATAAATTTATAGCAATTTTTGGTTAAAGAACCAATTCCTTACCGACCTACAAATAAATGCTTAAAATGTCTAATTTTGTTGTAGAGTGCAAAACTATAATAATGTCATAAGTTATAGCTTCGCAAGCACCTAATTAACAAATGTATTTAATACTACACGGTATACTAGTACAGAAAGCTAAACTTATTTTTAGGATTAGGCAGATAAAGTTCTGTTCTTTACTTTTCTACATAGACTAAAGTTTAGTTCTGGAAACTGCAAAACCTTGAACTGGACTGTGGAAACTTTGAGACCTAAAATCTTAAAAAATCACAAGCAAAATTGTGGTGGAAAGCCATACTTCAAATATAATCACTTAAAATGTGTCATAATGACATACTGTGTACTAAAAGCATTTTCATCTGAGAGGCCCTTCCTAAAAATATAAACATAATTCTTCTGCTATTGCTACCAGTGCTTGTAACTAGGTTTGGAGGTAAAGGAGGAATGTCTATTGCAATCCTTCCTTTTTCTGCCTTACGTTCAGCACTTTTGTGTGGTCAGAGCACTGAGGCTATTATGTGTGCATAAACACTGCCATTCTAGGTACAGATTTTGATTACAAAAATACATGTATTAAGTACATAAAAACATTCTTGCAAAGGACTAGCTGGTCTTTTCATGAATCTGACAAAAAAAAAAAAAAAATCTTAAAAAGGCACTTTTGCACCTTTGTGCATTTCCTTTTTGCACCAGTTAAACTTTTTTTTAATGCTAAAAACATTAGCACCTCAGGGGCAAGGCAGCAGAATTTTTGAAGTATTGTGTGCTATTTATTTCCCTCGGGAAAAGATTCCTGTGTGACAAAAATGCAAACAATGTGCTGTTCAAAAATGTATTTTGAATAGATGTTCAAATAGGATGGTCCCAATTCGCTTGTTTTTAAAAAGAAATGACATTTTGTAAAGCTATTTTGCTTCATATGCCATGCAAGTTTCTGTGTTTTTCTTTACATTTGACAGCTTCACTGGTTTCAGTTTCTGTGAATATTGTTATAGTCAGATTAAATGTTTCACTGATCATTTTGGGAAAATATTGTACTGCTTTATAGATAACACCGTTTCAAATAATCTTAAACTACTCTCATTAATTCAGCTTTGGGGAGGTATGTTATTCAAGGTAGAATTTTTAAAATGTATTAACTTTTAAAACCAGTGTCAAACTTACTAAATGCAATTGCATTTTTAATAAATGGGGCACTAGGTTTGCAATTTACAGTGCATGGGAGACCCCTGCATTCATACAGAGTCCTGAAAAGTCTGGGTGCAGGACTCTTGTCCTGCATTGTAAATCGCAAATCTAGGTCCTTTATAGTTGGCTTGCTGTGGTGCTAGTCCATCAGTAGCACTATAGAGAGCTTGTCACTTTGCCATCGTTCAATTTCATCCTTCGGCAGAAGTCAGAATCAGAGAAAAGAATTTCATCTGCATGTCTTTATAGTGTGCTGAATTGGGGTAATCCCAGGACAGTCGACCATTGCAGCAAGATGTCTGAAGAATATTAACCAGTAGTTCAGTAACTACAACACACTCTTGATAATTATTTTTCTAACCTACAGCACTTGTTAACATCTTGTAGTTATGGATATTGACTGACTTTTGAACATCAGCACGATCTACTGCAAAGTTAATGCATCCTCAGTTGCATAGGTTAAAATATGAATAAAAAAGTTACTGGCCATTTTGCTCAGTCCAAGAATTTGAAAATTCATTAGGTAATTCAACGAACTGAAATAAGGAATATAGCATTTATTGCAATTGTTATTTTCCTTCTGCTTGTGCCATCTTAACTAAACTAAACTTTTGACTGTTAATTATGAATAGGGTGGACAACAAGGCAACATTTTGGCTGAACACTGCTGTTAATCGTTTAAAAAAAATATTTTAGGACTGACTCCTTTGGCAGCTCCTTGTAAGGGAGTGTAAAGGTCATTGCTTGTATATTTCCTTATGGAATTGATTTAAAATATAAGCATTTTGCTTTAGTATTAAACATTCAAACAACTATTGAATAGAAGTTTCTTTAGCCTTACATGGGAGTGTCACACTGAAAAAAATCAGATTATTTTGCTTCTGGTAGCTCTGTACAAACATGAAGGCATAATTCCTCTCCTTACGGGCTGACAAGATGGCTGCCACCATCTTGCAACTCAGAAGTATCAGTTGTAATTGAACTTTATTCCCAAATATATCTGCATTCATTCATGCTGACAAATGCTTCATACCTTAAGAACCTTTAGACAAACATGTTTTTTTCAAATTAGATAACGCTATGTTCAAATAGTTTGATATGTTTGAATACTCTGAATTGGTGTGAAAGTTTAAACCTTTAATTTAGAGCATGATGTACAATAGGCAGCTGAGTATTATAAAACTTTTTACTATAAATATTTGCTGATGAGTTGCTTCATGGGAATTAGAAACTGGCAGCACGTTGTTTACTATATGTAGGTAAAGAGACCTGCAGTTGACAAATTTAGTGTAATGGAGTGGTCCAATTTGCTGCCAGGCTTCACTTCATTAGATGTGAAAATGATGTTTTTAGCCCCTCATTGTAGCTTCTTGTTAGTGTCTAAAAGTACATGTTCATAAACTGTTGTTTGGTCTTTATACTGTTGTCTCAAATTAGGTCACTTTTGATTAGATGGACTCTCAACACTTCAAAAATAAATTGGTGTTGTGAGACATGCTCATACCGTGTGAATTTTCTGAATGCTGTGCTGAGCAAAATGAAAGCCATCTCTTATGTGAACTGCAAAGCCAACATGGAAATTGAGTGAAACTTAGAAGTATGTGCTGACCAGATTACGGAAGAATTCAACTCAGAAATCAGACCTTGCAATAAACTGCATGATTGGTCCCCTGAACTGATATGAACTGAAGTCAGTGGGTCTCTGTGCAGGCACAGGAATATACCTGCTGTGGTTCATTGCAGGACTGCTTAAGTCTGCTTAAATGAAATTGCTTTGCTATATTGTCAGTGCGCTGTAATGGTGATTTCAGAGCCCTGTGTCATGGCAATTGCCGTCATAGCAACGCTTGTAAGAAGCCGTAGTAATAATTTTTTTTAATTCCCCTCCCTGTCCCTGGCACTCAAGTTCACTGGCCATGCCAGAATGCCCCCTTGTTTGTGATGTGTCCAGGGTGCTGTGCTTGTACTGTCCCACTTCAAAAGCACACTTTTTCAGCAAAGTCTATCAACCTGTCAACTGATTCCTGAAAAATAAACGAAAAATCGCACTGCCCTGTGATCTTCTGATCACCTCTTTTTGTCTACTTAGATTATAAACTTGAGAGCAGGGTCCATTTTTTCTCTTTCCTCTGAGTATCATGGATTATATTGGAGCTTGACAAATATTTGTGATATGACTTGCATTAAAGCTAGAGTGGGGAAAATTAAACTAAAACTAAATGTGATTATCTGATGAAGGAGTTCACAATCTGTTATTGGGGGAGGTCTCCAGCATATTTCTGGGTTTAACTTAATTTTTGTTTTAGCTTTGCAGTACACTTTTAATGCCCCATAAAGTGTTTATTCTTAATATGTGGTCATTGTTTTAAGACGCTTACTAGCCCAAGCTAAAGGACGCATCCTATTTTTCTCATGTTTTAGTTTCTCTCAACCTTAATGTTTAAGGAGGTTGGATTTATATATTTTTTCTTTTATGGGGACATGAGTAATTCACGTTAAAATATGGTTCTGCTCTGAAAAGTTACTTAAATCAATATTAGTATCACAATTTTTTTAATCTGTTATCACATCCTAGGATCTCATCCATTCAGTTTACAAGTAAAAATGTTTTTGAGTTCTACTCTTGCAAATTCTTAGGCCAGGTCTACACTAACCCCCTAATTCGAACTAAGGTACGCAACTTCAGCTACATGAATAACGTAGTTGAAGTTCGAAGTACCTTAGTTCGAACTTCAGTTCACACACGGCGGGCAGGCTCCCCCGTCGACTCCACGGTACTCCTCTCGTCTAGCTGGAGTACCACAGTTGACAGCGAGCACTTCCGGGTTCAACTTATCGCGTCCAGACAAGACGCGATAAGTTGAACCAGAAGTTCAATCGCTCGCCGCCGAACTACCGGGTAAGTGTAGACCTACCCTTAGTCCCTGAATCTGAAAGTCAGGCTGGGTTCTTTCTGTGCCATTCCTCCCCAACAATAAAGATTCTGCCTTCAGAACTTTGAGCCTAATCCTTCAAGCACTACTAGATGTCAGAGTTTTTAAAATTACTTAGTTGCCTAGTGGGATTTTCAAAAGCACCTAAGTGCCTAACTCCCCTTGAAATCAGTAGGAGTTAGATGCCTATCTGCATTTTTAGGTGCCTAAGTATCTTTAAAAATATGGCCCATAGTGCTTACCCTTACAACTGACCAGTACTATTCATGCTAGCAAACACTATGCTGGATAGTAAGCTTTTTTTTTTTTTTATTATAAGACTGGGTCTTTAGTTCTCAACTTTGTTGACACTGCACAAGCCAGAATACAAGTCAGCTCGCTCTTCATAGCTATTGGGCTTAAAGAGCTAACAGGAGTTGGGTGGCTTTTGTTTTTAACTCTAATCGACAAATAAATAGGCAGGAATCTGTATATACACAGGGAGCAGGTCAACTGAGTGCAGTCACTTTTCAGAGCAGAAGCATGATTTAAAGAAAATTACAAGGCTTCCCATTTAATTTAAAGGAACACTGCTGGGTTAAAAATCATGTTACATTTTGTAATCTGTGTCAGAAGTTTTAGATTAAATTTAAACCCGAAGATCTTAATTTCACTACTAATGCTGACTTTACTTTTTGCATTTCAAATCAGTTTGTACAATGAAAATAGAGTAGTCATTTAATTTTCACTTTCTGGTTCTCCGGCACTAGCACTATACTGCAATATTTCACTTGCAGAAACAGCAAAGGAAAGTTTAAATGCTATGGCGCCAATCCTGCAAACATTTGTGCATGTACAGTATTGACCTTTAGGCCCTGCAAGGTCCCATTGAGGTTGAACTATAATTGCAGCATGTAAAGTTACATGTGTGCGCGCCTTTGTGGCATTAGAGCCTCCAACTGTTCTATTTTCACTGGAATTAAACAACAACAAAAAGGTAATTTTATTCATCTTTGGTTTTGAAAAAACATTTTAAAGTCTAAATCACCTCAGTGTTCTTTTAAAGGGAACAAAGATGATGGTGTTAAAATAAGATGTTTTCATAGAAAATTAAGGACAGCAATTTCTTGTTATATAACTTTCAAACGTCTAATTCAGCTATTTTTCTTCAAAGCATCCAATGAGCAGTTTTAAGAAATTTCTTCTCTATTTATTATGCAGCTTTTCATCAAAAGCTTGGAGAAGGGTAAAATCAGGTGTAAATTTCTGGGAGGGATTTGGTTACTCCAGCCCTACAATATCTGAACCAGTTTCTTATGTGGTGGGAGTTGGAGTTAACACAATTTCTGTGTCCAGTAATGGACCTACTGAATGCTCTGATACTGAGAGAAACTGTTATAAGGAAATTAGCATTCTTGCTACCAAGATTCAATCTGCTGCCATTTGGAACTTGCAGAATATTAAACTGGAAAATCATCATTTACGATAGAGACAGCAGTACATCCAGTGTCGCTGTAAGTGAAATGT